TTGCGGGCTCTCCCAAAGTCGGAAAGAGGCAAGACGGAATAGACGCAGACGAGCTTTTGGCTGTCCGCAAGGCGATTCGTCTGGCCAAGAGATGAAGGGAAAAGGTGTATGAGTCCAGGACAGAGTTGATGCGATCCGATCCCGGGATTTGCAAGCCAATGCGAGGACACACAGAGAGAGACAGAGAGAGAGAGAGAGGGCCTAATATGCTTTGACGGTCGATGGGTGCCTAGGAGGAGAAGTAGAACAGTAGAGATGCAGAGCGTACCAGAGCAGGGACAAGAGTCGTATCGGCGGCCCGAGCGAGAACGAGGATATCCCTCTTCTTATCCCGCATCATGATTCGCTGCGAAAGTAGTCGTGCTGCTGAGAATAGCTCTGCTGATGTTGACCCTGACCCTGCGAGTATCCGCTGGCATTCCGACTTCCGTGCTGGCTAGGCTGGTCGTAGTACTGAGAAGGATCCGAATATCCTCCATTATGATAGTACTGCTCTCCCACGTCCCCCGAAGCCTGGTGCTCTCCCCATCCTTGTTGCTGATACTGCCCCGCAGGGTTGGGAGAATGCGAAGGCTGAGCAAGCGGTGATGGTGCCAAGGGCTCCCTCTGTCCCGCTCCTGGGTTATCAAAGTATCTCTGTCCAGGCGTGCCCGGGATGCTTCCTCCATAACTGTCAAACGTGCCCATGCTCGCCCGTGCTCCCAAGTTTCCGCCATAGTTGTGCATATTGGGGTTCGGCGTGTCCACACGCTTGTACTCGCCTCCGCGTCCTCCGTTGGCGTAGTTGTTCATGCCGTAGATGGCTCCTCCCGCGCCAGCAGCACCTGCCGCTCCGCGCTTTGCGCCCGCTCCCGCCGCACCTCCGCGGTTGGCAGCCCGACGCCAGCAGCACAAGCCGAGGAGGATCAGGGCAATGATGGCTGCGGCACCAACAGCAATACCGACAATCTTGCCGATGCCAAACTCCTCCGCAGCATTGGAAGGCGGTGCCTTGGTGTACTTGGAGTTGGGCTTGGCTTGCGGAAGAGACGGGTTGGAGCCAGTCTGGTACGTGGTAGGCACTGGGCCTGAGAATGACCTCGAACCGATCTGGATGTACTTGCCTGGCGAAGGAACGCCATCGACAGTGATGAAGAGGAGCGCAGGGCCAGCAACAAAGACGTTCTGGTTCTGTGGCATGGGCATGACCTCAAAGTCGACGGAACCATCGTCATTGACAGTGTAGGTGTGCTGCAGTCGCATGGATCGTTGGCCCATGTTCATAGCATGTGTGGAGAAACCACCGCGAATGACCATCACCTTGGTGTGCTCAGCTCGATAATTGGCAGCGTCGTTGGCACCCATAAAGTTGGCGTCAATCTTGAACTTCCATGTAGAGCCGCCGTAGAGGATGAAGCTGGGAAGACCTTGAGGCTGAGGGCGTTCCTTAAAGTAGTATGGTGGGTACCACTTCTCCATCTCGTAGGTGGTGTTGTATCCTTGGGGAGAGCTGCCGATGGGCATGGTTAAAGAAACATCTTGATGAGGATTGGAGCCAGCAATGAGAACGGATGCGTCTGGAAGAAGGATGGCACTGGAGTGATACAGCCTGGCGATGGGAGAGACACCAAAGCCAGAAGTCGTGAGACGTTGTCCCTTGGGCTTGCTGCCGTCCCAGAGCACTGGCTGGTAGGTCGGATCAGCGCTCATACCTTCGGTGAGCAGTGGCTGGCCGTTGAAGGTGGTCTGGGTCCAACTCTCATTCGAGTAACCAGCTGTGCCCTTGTTCGCTCCATTCACAATGACCATCGTCTCGTCTGGCAGGTGGATGAATTGACCCATGGTACGACCTTGAGGCAGATCCTCCTCGTGGACGTAACCAGCTCCTGTCTGCTTCCCGTTGGCATCCTCCGGAGTGATGGAAGAGCAATCCTTCGACGCTTCTCTCTGCAAAATGTTGACCGTAGGAGCAGTGTAGTTGCCCCACTCATAGTCGCTCAGTGTAGTACCGCCGCAAAAGAGGATCGTTGGAGTGTAATTGTTGTCGGGAGTCAGTGGAAGCATAGCAGTTGCGCCAGATGCTGGGTACACGCGGACCACCTGATTAGGCATTTCAGCCAAAGCAGTCTCGGTGTTGTCGGTGAAATTCCAAAGCGTGGTGCTGTAGTTGGCCTGCATGAAGAGGAGGCCGCTTGGCATTAAGAAAGTGTGGGGATACATGTTCAGACCTGAGCGACGAGGAGCGGTTACTTTGCGTCAGCCTTTCCGATCCTTGCAATGGAGCTGCATGGGCCGACGGCATTGAACAGTTCCAGGGCTCCCTGCGCGCAATCGCGACTCACCGCTAGTCTTCACCATGAATTGGCTGATCTGCTTGGAATCGTTGGGACGTGGGGGAAAGAACTCGTAGGTGGGATTGGAACCGCCAGCGTCGAGGCGGTCGATTGCGCCGCCCTGGAACGCAGGGTCGGTGTTGGGGGTGTTGCGGTTGATGTAGCCACCGCCAGTGGCGCCACCAATGAGAAGGATGCTGCCATCGGCCAACGTCTCGATGCCAGGATACCACCTGGCAGAAGACATGAACAGGCTGCTGTCAATCCACTCCAAATTTGCGCTGGTATCCGAGTGTTCCATGATTCTAAGCGCTTTGCGTCCGTCTGTATCCTTGTAAGGGCCCGACATGGGATCTTGACCTTGCGCCAAAGCAGCACCTCCTCCCTGAATGGCCTGATTGCCTCCAGCGACCAACAACGATCCATTGCCCAGATGGGCACCAGATGCGCAGAAAGTGTTGGTGGTGATATCCACACCACGAGGGGTGAAATCTTCCAGATCCACCAGCGAGGCCCAGACTGGCTTGTCTGTGTTGTCCAATTTGGCGGTATTGTTCTCCACCTTGTCGATGACAGCGACAGTGTTCTCATTGACCAGCACGAGCATCATTGCGGATGCCAGTGAGTTATCCAACACCGTGTCATACTGACCTGCCGACTTTTCGGCGCTCACGCCCGTAGCGACCATGGCCACAGCGGCGCAGCCAGCAGCAAGGGTGGACATCATCCTGCGCGTGCTGCTGCTGCTGCTGGAACCAGAAGACGAGGCATTGTGCGCCCTGCTACGCCGAAATGTGGACGAGCCCAACATGGTGAGTGAGAGGTATTGCGCACGCTCTGGATGTGTATCAGACTTGTGCCTTGAAGCCTAGGGTCTGCTGAGGTGTGCGCCTAGGCGTGATGACCCGTTCCGTCCAAAGGTGAGACCGCAAAAGCTGAGAGGCACCAGCGCGCAGTCGAATGGAGGAGAGGTGGCTCGAGTGCTCGCAATGGCTTCGTCCTGTGGATGGCTTTCGGTAATACAGGTCGACGTGTGCCACACAGGGGCAAGACGTGTGTCGAGCGGGAGGCGACGGGAGCCCTGATTGGCAGCGTATGATGTGAGCTCGGTGCACTTGAGCAGCCAGCAGTAGTCTCCTGAACGGCGAGCTGGGAAAAGAGAATGAACAAGAGTCCAAATGTGAATGTAGTAGAGGTAATTTAGATTTGGAGGAGATGATATTGTCCGCGCGATGGTGGTAGGATGAGGGGGATGCGCGTATTGGCAAGAATGGCAACGCTGCCCGTCTCTAACATGAAGGCGGCAAACAAGCGAGCGCGCCAAACCTCGACGGCAACGGCGACGGCGACGGCGACGGCGACGGGTGCATGACATGACATGGCACGGCACGGCACGCACGCGGCAGTCCATCATGAGCAGCAGCAGCCGCCTTGGGGAGCAGTCGCCGCGTCACCGCACCCCGCCGCTCGACACCACGCATACAGCCGTCGCGCCTCGCGCGAGTGATAGCAGGTCAAAAGTCCCTCAATTAATTTCGTTTGTCGCTGCTGGTGCTTGCTGCATGAGCAGTGCTGGTGTTGCTGATGTGTGTACTGTACAGTCACAGGCGCAGGCGCAGCGGCAAGGCGCGCGCGTGCAGCTAATAGCGCGCGAAGAAATCAAGATTTCAGGGGTCCGCGCTCGATGCTGTGGCATCAGTCGCTCACTAATAGAAGGCATGCATGGGCAATTCAGTCCTGCCATGCCCGCGCGGCACCATCACCAAGCGCGCACATCCGAATGCTTTGGTGTTTAGGCTCTGCCGCGGCGGGTCCTCACAGGGTTCATGTTTCTAGTGCCCGCGTGCTGCACATACCGCACGCGTACGTTATAGCTTAATCAGCTTCATTTGAGGCGATCAGACAGATGGTCACATATACACTGTCCGCATCAGCAGATTCAGGTCAAGCACGTACGGCGCCGACGGGCTTGCGACGACGGCGTTGCGCGCACGTCGAACGAGTTTTAAATGCATCCATGCAGCATACGACGAGCCAGAGAGGCGCAAGAGCAGTCAGCAGCAGCAGCGCGTACTTCTGCTTTGACGGCCAGCATATATGCATCGCAGCGGTCAGAACTGCTGCACTTGAGAAGTTTGTGGTGGAGCAGCGGAGGCTGCTGCATGACAAGACACGTTGTGCGGATCACTCGACCGCACACACGCGGCTCGTCAGCAGCCATGGCAGCAGCACGACGAGACGAGGATCGCTGCGGCATGCACTAGATTTACCAACCGACTCCGAAGAGCGCGCGCGCACGTAGCGTGGAAGGGGGGCTTGATCGGACTTGGAGCCTGTGGCGACTGGCATACAGCACCGTGCAGCAGTGCGCGGTCGTGAGTACATGCCAAGGCCAGCGCATCGGCCACACGGCACAATCGCATTGACGCTTTGTAGTCGATGAATTCAAGGTGTCGGGAGTCGAAGGCTCAAAGGGGGATCCCTCCAGCACAGCCGGCAGAAGAGATAGACAGATGGGCATCGAGGCACATCAATCAAGCACAGCTATACAGCTATACACGGCAGACTGTTTCAGCGCCTCTCCTCCTTTCTTTTGTCGATCCCAGCAACTTCCTCCTCGTCCGCTCGTGCCTGCGCTCCACATCAGTCCAAGATCTTGCGTGTAAGCTATCGAATTCTGAACCTCCGGCCGAGATGACGCTAGAGCGGCCAATGTCGTCAAGGGCTGCCTGCCATACACCACGTACGAGGCACTCGGACACTCCACAAAGCAGAACAACAAAAAGATCCCCGCCAGGTCCGAGCCTAGCAGTCCGAGTGAGTTCAAAAGTCGTCGCCTCGCCATGCAGTCTCACTCACGACTCGTGCCTGTCACGACTGATCTCCGTACTGACGACCGTGCAGAAAGATGAGGTGCGTGCATGCATGCATGCATGCCGGACCGTCGGTTGGCGCAACACCTCGCATGGCTCACTCACTCTTCTCTGACTCACTCACCTCTGCTCCCCATGGCATGCCTCCTGTGTCGAGGCTTTGCCTGACCCGTTGCTGCCAGCAGCAGCAGCTACAGCTACCCCCAAGCGCGCCCATGCAGT